AGCAAAGTCCATGTGAGACACAAAACACATTTCACTGCAAATCCTCAAGGGTACGTTTAGTATGCCTCGTGGGTGTAGACCTTGTTCAACTGTCTCAATGGTAATAAAATCTTATTGGCATGCAGCATACACAGCATTGGTTTTGATCTCGAAAGATGAATGAACTGAATTACTCATCGTCTCCCAGCGAGTTCAAATCAGCAGCCTCACCTCTAAGACAGGCCACTCCAAGAAGACACACAAGAACAGTTCCCACATACTGACTCACAGGAACCAGTTTACTGCTACAGATGAAGCCTAAAGACAGACAAAGTAACAGTGATGCAAACACCATCATAGTGTACCCCTTCATCTGTCTGCCAGACTCGAGGCTCATTAACAAGCACTGATAAAAAGATTCACAAGCTGACAGCTACCCTACAACCATGTGCATAAATCAATACCATAAGCACTTTACACTAAGGAGTAACACACAACCTCAAGCAATTACTTTCTTGATGCACAGTCTTACTGGGTGTTTCAGTTGATTAGCTTTATATTATTCCCACATGCATGTGAACAGCAGTTCCTAAGTACATCTCCTAATGGTAGTTTTCCCCCCTTTCTCAGCAGAAAGAGAAATATGGCCACATGTGTCTAAGTGGGAATTATGATGATGATTATTTGAAACCATTCTAAGCAAATTAATGAAAAAATAGCAGTGAGAAGGAGGTAATATTCTGTAGTAAAACCTAAAAGAAAATATCAAGTGAATAAAAAAAACAAATCTTAAATTACAAGTAAAAACTTGAATATTCTTTGAGATACACATGAACCCATAAATGCATCTGAAAAAACCCTAAAAATCTGAAATTAACGCCTTTTTGTTAATTTTTTGTGACCACATTTCTTCATTTTGCAGGGTCGGATATCATAGATGGTAAACACTGTTATTGCATCTAATCAGGGAAAGCTTTAGAAAAATCATTAATCTTATGATTTGAGGACAGAAGGGTAAAATCAATATATTAACTTTAGTTAATATTTATTTTATTTCTCCGTGCACTCTCAGTGCTCCAGTTTATTTTTTTAATATGACTCTCTCAGGTTATGCACCTGTTTTGAAGCCTCGCATTTCTTTAAGAGAATAATTAGAATGTTCACATTTTGTACTCATACTCATACTTCTCATAATATCTATAATGTCTTTACACTAGATTAATTACCATGTATTCTACCTTCAGTCACAGTTTCAAATTATAAATAACCCCAAAATGGTCCTAAAGCTTTTGAAAACGACATTCACTAAACCCATGAAGCTCACATTTTAGAAGTACAAAGAATGAGAAAATGGCTTCAGTGCTTCTTTTTTAATTTGCCATTTTTCACTGAGAGTACAAAGGAACAGAACTGGACAAAGAGACTGGTATAATTATATGAATCTATTTAAAAAAAACAAACACACACGTAATGTAGAAAAAACCAGAACAATGAAAAATTCCCACATTAAATAATCAAAGTGATGCTCAAAGCTATTTTTACTGTGCATCAAACAAAAACTACTTGCTTCACTTTTTTTCAGAGCCAGCAAAATAACATCATTATTATTATTATTATTATTATTATTATTATTATTATTATTATCATCATCATCATCATCATCATCATCATCATCATCATCACAATGTATTATAATATATTCACTAAATTATCATCTGGCATCGTGAGACTCATTTTTAACTGCAACTTGTTGGAGCATCAACATATCTGGCACAAATAACAATTATTATCAATTCATTTAGCAATTATTTACTCCAATCTATAGATTAACTCAGGTCTTTTAAACATCAAACAATAGTGAAAATGTCTATTAAACATTCCCACACCCCGAGGCAGTGGCTTCAAATGCCTGAAATAATTTCAAATTTACAAAAATAACCTTCCCACTGGACACTTCCTCCATTAATCACTTATAAAAAATGGCTGCTGACTAAATTCCAGTTAACCAGATAATCAACACACTGACTAACATTTCTAATAATTTCAGCTGTAGTCACACAATTCATGAATCAGCCTACCTTTCCTGTAAAGATAGCAAAGAAGAAGAGGAGAGCTGTAGTAGGACAGAGACCATAGTGCTGAAGCCTGGAGGAAGAAATCATAAACAAATCACTAATCATTAATTTAATCTACTTCTGTTTAACTCCACCTACTTCTTTCTATACAGTTCATTACGATATAATACTGACCCAGCCAAGAATGCTGTCAGTGTGTCTTTCCAGACCCCTAGGTTGGTAGTTCCATCCCTGGCAAAAGAGAAGGAAATACTGATCATATCATGCATCAATAGTTTCCCTGATGTTACGTAAAATCAAGTTATTAATAGAAAGAGAAAGGTTCTGAGTTATGCGTGTTCACTCTGTACACCTAAAATTTCTATTACAGCTCTGAATCATGCTGCCTGCAGAGGCTTTCTGATGACTTGGTGGTAGTGGTTGGGGAACTGGTGGATAACTTTATGAAGTGGTGTAGCAGGAATCAACTGCTACTAAATGTAAACAAGACTGAGAAGGTAATGGTCAAATTTGAACATTAACATTACGCACAAATACCTGCTGAGCACTTAATGACCTTCTTCACAGCACACAGAAACTGCAGGCAGCATCTTTGTTATTCATCTACCTTTCTTATTAAATCTAAATCTAAATAATTTCCCCCAGGGATCAATAAAGTATTCTGATTCTGATTATTATAGCTGTTTGCAAAGCTGCTGATTGCTTTTTAAAGTTTGAATGCAAAGGCTAAATGTAGGCAGAAATATATGGAACCAGGATCATCTGTGGAAGCTCAGCTCAGTCAATGTATGCAACTAGAGATCTTCAAGCAGTCTGTGGTCTACTGGTGAAGAGATGCCAACAGGATCAATAAAGTCATTCACAAGGCTGCAACAATCATTAGGAAAAAGCTGAACACATTTCAGACAGTGAGATGAAGGTGGTCAATGAACAGATTTCTCCCCATAAAAGACAAAACATCCTATTCTGTCTATTATTCATTACACACAGAGTATGGAAACCGAGTGCTGGTTCCAAATTGTCCAGCCCTCAGGAATCGTATCAATAACAACATGTTTTTCTGACAGTTGGAAAACAGTGACATCACATTTATGTCACTGTGGACCTTCTGCACATCTTAATCTGCACATCTCTCGTTTTACTCAATTTACAGATCATAGACTCAAAGATAAAATTGATCTGGAATCAAAAAGCTAATCAACTGCTTTAGTCTGACTTAAAGGCAAAATTGATAATAGCATTAGTATCAATCTGCATTCACATTTCCAACACACTCATTCGCCTCTGCTGACAGGAAGCATTAGCTCTATAGAACTGCACACTTGTGTGACAGGTGAACACAAAGTTGTACTCATGAACGTAAACATCTGTACATATTCATACTGGATATATTATTCACTGCTTTGTTTTTGCACATCTGTTCCTATTGATCTTTTCCCTCTCCCTTTCAATCATCACCACATATAGTAACATGGCCACTTTATTAGGTGCAACTGCAGGTAGAACTATTTAGGCATGTAAACAAAGTGAAGACCATCTGCTGAATTTGAATCTTGTTCACATCTTGAATCTTGACACACATGGCCTACAGCTGCTTTAGACCACACCACGTGCCACTCTTATCAGCTAAGAATAGAAAAGGAGGCTAGAAATTGCACCGGCTCGAGTGTGCGGGATATTTTCTTGGTATACTTTGGGCGACTAACTAAGCTTTATTTAAAAACCACAGCCTACCCCAATATTGATGCTGACCATGTCAATCCCTTTATGGCCACTGTGTACCCTTCTTCCGATAGCTGCTTCCAGCAGTCACCATATCACAGAACTCAGACCTTATCAGTTTGGTTTCTTAAATATGGCAATGAGCTCACTGCACTCAAACGACCTACCACCCGCTCAACCAAAACCTTTGAGATGTGGTGAAATGGGATTCACATAATGCATGTAAGGCTGACAAACTTGCAGCAACTGCGTGAAGCTGTCATAACAGTACGAACCAAAATCCTTGAGGAATGTTTCCAGCACCTTGTGGAATCTGTACCACGAAGAACTAAAGCGAAACAGGGCCCAACCCGATACTAGCAAGGTGTACCTAATAAAGTGTGTAAGTCTATGTAGAAGTGTATGTATTCGATGCTGAGCGTCGAATTCTTTAGATCTCCAGCTCTCATTTAATTTCTAGGGATACTTTTAATTAATTCTTTTGTGGTTGCGGTGTCATTTCCTTCGCATCACTTATTCGATCTATCGTTAATTTCATGCAAGTTAGCAAACGTTAGCTTAGCTGTTAGCATTATAATTTGAAGACAGAATGTATTCTACAATTCTGTCTTCCCAAATGCTTTTTACAGTTTTTATGCCTTTAAATTGTCCCTGTTTGAGTTTAATATTTTTATTCAATTTATTTGTTTCTGTTTCGTTCCTCCTGGGTTCTCCTCGGCTCCTGGCTAGCGTTAGCAGAAGCGGTTTGACATCATCGAAGATAGATTGAATTTAAATGACCGCTCCTTAGACGACGAGACGAAACAAAACACAACGAGACCAAGGAAAGCGTGTCGTTGCGTTCTTGTCTTTTCATTCATTTCTAAAATGTCATTGCAATGCAGGGTTTCAATAACAAACACCTGACACTTCCGGGCCGCAGCTGCAGCTAAATGGAAGCGAAAGGATTAATTATTGCTCAATCTTTCGCACTCAGCTGCTTTAAAAATCATGCAAAAATACTGTACACATCCGTACCCTCCTTCCCGATCTCCCGTCAGGTCGAGACTGGTCCGGGGAACGATGAATTCGTTGAAGATGAGGCCCTAAAACACAGCGAAGCCACATCCAGACGGCCATTCTTCCACTACGAGAACTACGGAAGCCCGTACCCACCAAAATCTCAAACGCGAAACGCTCTTAAGAATATCTTGTTTAGAAATTAAAGCAAGAATTACACCCAAAGTCTTTATTTAAAAGTTTAGTATACATATAAATTAGAATAAAATTATTGGTACATATATTATTTGCAGAAGATTATAAAATTGGAAAACAGCAAATATGACTGACAGCAAGGAAACTCATGAAAAGATCATTTGACATACAGAAGTAGGGTACTGTATCAACTGCTATACATGGGTGACAGGTTTTGAAGCATTTTAAGTAAAGAATGCTTTAACTTTACTACTTGACAATAGCTTAGAATAGAGTAAAACATTTAAACAATTGTGTAGCATGTCCCTAAAGCACTGAAGTTTTTCTTTAAATCCAAACTCTGACATTTGGCTGTTACTTGTGTTTAAAAAGGCCTTCTGCAGCAGCTGGGAGCTGAGCGGATGTGACAGCTGGATACGGGGGAGATGTGGGTAGGTGATCAGCTTTGACACTGCTCGTATCTGAAAACAGAATGTAAAGACACACTCACAAACACACACACACAAATCTCCAGTGCCCCAGTCTCTTTTATTCTTCCTTAAACACAAACACAGACAGCCCACGCAACAACAGCACACGGGTGAAGGAGTGCTGCCTGTCAGCGCGTGGCGTGATATTATGCCACAGTGTCAGAGTGATTTTCAGGCTGGGGTGATTGGTGAGTGTGAGAAAAATGTGAAGGGCACATGAGTGGCAGTGCAAACACACAACATACAAAAGCACACACAGGTGATGCAACTGTGTTTGCTTACCGCTCCAGTTCTTTATAGACATCATCCTCTCCTCTTGGCTTCAAATCCTGACATAAAGAAGAAAGGGGAAACGGGAAAGAGAGAGAGAGAGAGTGAGTGAGAGTGAGAAGGAGTGGGACAGAGAGGAGAAGGATAAAGAGATGTACTCAGGCCAGATTTATGTCCCTCTGGTGTGTAATGAGATTGATTTGTTAATACCACTAATGTAAGGGTGACAGTTGATAGGCAATGTTTTTATCTGAGTGAAGGCTGATAGATTAGAGGAGAAGACTGGAAGTGAGAAGGAAGACGTATCTGCTGACAGCTTAGGGAGGGTGCAATAGAGAGAATGAGACTTTGTATGCACTAGTGAAGATGTGTGTCACAGTTACTTGCACAGAGACATGCATGCACAGTGCCTGCATGTGTGTGAGTGCATAATAACTCACCATGTAGACTGGACCCTGGGGAGGGGCCTGTTGGGAGGGGAAAAAACTGGTTTAATGAACATCAAGTGACAGAGAGGGAGGGACACTTGAAGTCGGAGGAAAACAGAAGCAGACGAGGGAAGAAAAAGTGCACTATAGAAAGAAGACGGTAAAAGGGGGGAGGGGAGGGGAGGGGGAGGGAAGCAAATACCAGAGGGGCGATGGAGAAGCGGGGAAGATGAGGGCAAAAATCATCAGGAGGTATTTAGTTGAATTCATCACCTGTCTAATATCTTCAGGATTCTCATAGATGTTCTCTGCTTCACCCGAGTGGACAGACAGAGACTGCTCGATACCTGAGTACAAAAAGACAGTTACTAGTGTACACACACGCAAACACACTCGGCTGCACAGGGATGGAGGAGCTGGGAGTGGGGTAGGGGGCAGATTCATTACAACAACCCCAGAGGATGTCACGGCCCAGATCACTCAGTGGAAGCCAACAGGGGCCAAAGATGGACGGAACACGGAAAGCTGTCAAAAAAGAAAACGCCAGAAGACTCACCGCGATCAGAAATGTGTCTCTGTCTCCATAGCAACACACCGACAGCTGCGGCAACCAGGGGCACCAGGAGTAATAAAGCAGTGAGAGAAGGGCGCGGGGAGGAGGTGGTGTCATCGACACTCTCTACAAAAGGAAAAAGTGAGAGAAAGAGAAAAGAGAGAGAGAAGCATGATTTTTTCCAAGAACGGTGCTAATATAAAACTCAGAGAGCGGTGATGGTGTGCGGTTGAATGACATTAAGGCTGTCCAGGAACTTATTGCTGTTTGCTCTCCAGTTTGTTCTAGTCGAGCAGGGGGGGGGGGGGAACCTTTTTTTCTTAACACTTGGAGCTATATTTTAGGACATTTTGCACTTCCAATTTCCTGAACATGTTACATGGATTTGCATCATACTGCTGTCAGTCAAGGACAAAGGGTGCAGTGAAATAAGGCGAGGAAATCGAGACTCTAACAGACAGAATGAATAGTCTGTAGAGCAGCTTCGAAGACATCGATCTGACAGACCCTCCGTCTGGACAGTAAAGGCTGTCAATTTGAAGCGTGGATGAGAAGACGGAAAGCAGCAGTATCAAGGAGACCAGATACTCTCTGATCATTACAACAAACAACAAAAACTCAGCAAAATGCCACTTCCACACAAAGCTGTTTATGCAAAAACAAAACCCTAATTATTCCATTTCTCATTTTCTAAATATGATGTAGGTAAAGTCTGGAGATGCTTTTCTTTGCACTCCGTTGACATCTGATCCCAGCGACAAAAAGCTTCTAGGCAAACTGACAAACAATGGGGGATTGCAGTCCTTCAGCCAATCCTGGCCGATGCAGTATTTAAAAACAGGTGGTTTAAAAGCGTAGGCATGATTATCACAAACATTACATAAGCACAACATTAGCTCACTGTTGTACAAGTCAAATTTTGTGGGAAGAGCACATGCGTGCGATCAAACTTGTAAGGATTGTTTGCATAATGACGGTGACATCAGTCTTGCAAAACACAGCCACCGGGCAACATGGGAAGCAGCAGGGTGGCGCCTGTTTCCACAGAGATTGTGTAAATTAGTGCACCTGAACAAGCGCACCGTTGTCTGTCTGCTCAACAGTAGACAGAGCACAAAACGGTAAGATCTAACAAACGTCTTTGGGTTACACAAGAGAAGCCTCATTCACTCTCAATCACTGCAAAGACTGATTATGTAATTACATAATTAGCAGAATTTATGATTAACTCCATGTTTCTCAGGTCTTTGTCTGAATTTCTACGAACATTATTGCTAAGGATTGTCTTATTGCATTGGAGTCACACTGGGTTAAATATGTACACTTGGGTTTTAAGGGGTATTTATTATTTTCTTCTTTTTTTTTTGGGTTGTATGGAAGCCCCAAACGCAATTTCATTGTTCTTGACAATGACAATAAATAAATAAAATACAAAAAAAAAAAATACTAAATATTTAAGATTCTCCAAAGGACAGAAAAAAGGTGAAAAGTAAAGTTCACTTTCACCAACTTTTCACAAATTTTGTTTGAAAGGGGATTGGCCCTTGGGCTTCACCTTAGCCCCGGTGTCTCAGCTTTTAGCCAGCTTCAAAATAATCAATCATTATGTGCTGTGTGAGGTGTAATTGATTGGTGAGTGAGTGTAGAGGTTGCTAATGGAATATTGTAGTGAGAGCTGACCCCAAGACTGACCTGCTCTGTTCTCCATGGCAGCTTTAACGCATGAATTATGGTAATTGAGCACAGTGAAGTGAGGCGTAACTGCCCCTAGATTCTCGTGACCACTTGTCCTCTTCTTTCTTTCTTTCTTTCTTTCTTTCTTTCTTTCTTTCTTTCTTTCTTTCTTTCTTTCTTTCTTTCTTTCTTTCACCTTCCTCTATATCTTTACTATTTCTTTCCCCCATTGCCACTTCTTTACCTCATCTATTTAATCTCAAATGAGGTAGGGAGTGATTTATATTATTGCAATTGTAGGGAGGAGTGCCTGAAGAACTGCTTGAATGCTTTGCAAACGATGGACAAACTGAAGATAGAAAATGACTGCAGAAAATCCCTGACATTTGAAGTATGTTGTGTGCTCCTCAGCACAATAATTGGTTCAATTCTGCATTCTTTGAACTCTGCCACCGGTGAAAGAATTTTGACAGTGCATTGTTATTTTACCTCCTACACCATGCACTCTGCTTGGCTTACATTTCAGTTAATATCCTAAAATTATAAATATAAATATGGGTTGTTTGGTGCACTAAAAACTTGCTTCACTTACTTCCTGCTCAAAGCACAAAAATGATGCTACCCGAGATGTCTTCCAGAGAAAAAAAAAACAGTTCAGAAACCTTGAACTGTCACTACTTATTGTCACATTATCCATTATTAACCATGATTTGATTTTTTGTGCTATCTTGCACTATTGCTGTGTTTGTGCAGTCTGCCACTTTTCAACAGAAACAAAATGTAGGTCATCCAACACTCACATTATTTGAATTTTCACTCTGTTCAGTCTAAATTCCCTGTGACATGCTGGAAAAATGCAACGCTTGTCATATTTATTCTACACACAGTTGCAAGAAATAGTTTGAATTCCCAGAATTTATGAGGCGATTACTCATAAAATGTGGTCTTATCTTTATCTAAGTCACAATTATAGACAAATCTGATTAAAAATAATAACAAACACAGAGCTACCAGCTAGAGTGCAGGCTGAAAGTTGTTACACTCTTGAATTTATTAACTTGCTGAACCCCCTTTAACAACAACAATCTCCAGTGGATTTTTTTCCTGTGGCTGCTTCTGAGACTTGCGCATCTTTGAGACGCTCTTGTTTCAGTTCATCAGTATTTCAGGGACATCTTGATTGAACAGCCCCCTTCGGGTCAAACCACAACATCTCAGTTGGGTCGAGGTCAGAACTCAGAATTGGTGTGATGTTTGCAGGACGCCCACTCCGAGGGAGAGCAGCTACAGTCCTGATTTTCCTCCACTTGCAGACAGTTTTTCTTGTAAACTCATGAACACCCATGTCTTGAGAGAAATGCTTTTGGAGCCCTTTCTAGCAATATGCACTTCTATGATGCCATCATCATGTGAGAGTTGCTTCAAGCCAGTCTCTCTTGAGAAGAGCAGACTTTGCCAGTAACCTGACTTTGTGTGCATGTATTTAGTAAGAAGAGGCACATCTCCAGCCCACACTTCCAGTCTAACCTGAGCACAGAAGCACCCTAACTTCTCTCAGCCTAGACTTTAAATATTTACTCCGTGTGCTCAATCTGTGCATAAAAAGTGCAACTTCTAGCTACATATTGAGTCAGATTGTGTTTGACTATAAGCATGACTTAGCTTATCATCAGAATATCCAAAAAGTCCAAAAACTTTCTCTTACAACTGTATATGTATCTCAACCTGACCACTCCAATCAGACAAAATCTTGCTGCCTCATCTCTTCTCCTACTCGCCATTCACCCTCCAACGCTCGTTCTTTCCTGTGCATTATTCTTATAGCTTTACCATCACCATGCATCACGATGAGCTCTGGGGGCCTTCAACCCAAGTGATGTATTGGGTTATGGGGAGTGAACTCATCTCTGCTAAGGGATTCATTCAACTGTCACATCCTCCTGTGTTCCTCCACAGCCACCAATACAATAAGCTTGAATTATTTAGTTTTTGTGGGAAGAGATGTCCTAAGGTCTTGTCTTCTTATACTCAGATAGCTGGGTGAGTTTGATGAGAAAAAAAAATAGCCTATATGGCTTTATATTTTCTAGAATAAAATGCAGAGTAGAATATTATCCAATGCATTAAGTTATTCAGCTGGATATTATCACAAAGACTTTTTGTACGGAAGCTTTGACCTGTGACCTCTTTAGCTACATTAAGAAAGCATAACATATGGTATCTGTCATGAGCTTTCGTCTCTGTAAACCCAAGGCTCTCTGGCAGACGAGCTGACCTGGGGTTGGCTTGAATACGCCATAGAACGCTTCGTGCAGCAGATATCCGGGAAGCATCCACATTCATGGTTAATTATTCCCAAGCAGACAGGAAGTCTGCCAGGACTGTTGTGTGTTATATAATAGTGATCCTAAAGAAAATCAGAAAACACACCAACCTTTGGACAAATTCTGCACAACCTTTGGAGACACTGTGATAGCTTGTGTTGCCTGAATGGCCTGCCCATTTTTCAGGTGGAGAACGCAGGTGTAGTTTCCTGCTATGTCAGAGGTGATGGGCAAGGGCAGACTGGTGGTGATGCTGCCAAGGCTGCTGCTTGACATCTTTAGCTTTCGACTCGCGTTGTGATGCTTCCACTCGACTTTTCGGACCTGGGACCGCTCCGAGTAGAGGCAGATCAACTCCATCTTTGAGGAATATTTCTTGATTTTAACTGTGGAGGTGATGCAGAGTGATAAGCGGATGAGTGGAGGGCAGCACGGGAAGAGAACGAGACCAAAGAAATAAAGGGAAGCCAGTAGGAATGATGAGTTACAGAAAAGGCAGTTGCGGGGGGGAACAAGGTGTGTTAAAGGGTAGTGTGTGAATATAGAAAAGGGCAAGGACAGATAGAGAGTAATGAGGTAAAGGGATATGAAAAACAAAGAACAATTCAGAGAAGGGTCAAAATAATATATATTCATTAACTTGATTTGCTGCTAATGCATCGCTTGACTGTGACTGATGTTTAGTGTCTCATCAAAGTGGAATGAGAATCCATCTGGGTGTAATCAAGCTCCACAGACCCCATCCACACACACATAAAAAACACACACATTTCACTCTTGATTAGCGTGATCAGTGTGGGCCACCTACAGCCTTGGTGGGAGGGCAGCAGGTATAATCATGCATAATGATACTTATAATGAGGTGGGGTAAAAATATGTGCATCACATGATTAGTGCATTGGTGGTGCATGGTTGGATGTGTGTGTGTATGGGATGCAGATGTGTAAAGCAGGGTGACAGCGACAGTGACTGATCGGCCGGTCATGTCTGGACAACTGTGATGGATGCCAAGGGGACTGTGATTAGTAAAACCCTCCAAGGCCACCATGACAGGGCATGGTGTATGCGTGCATATTAGCTTTGGTGAATGTGGGTGATAATGTGTGCTTCTGCAAAGTGTGAAAACTCCTCAAGGCACACTCATAAAAATCAACAAGCACTCTGCTTGATTTTTTTTCCTCCTTTAAATTTATGAATTGAGCAAATGTTCTTTTTCATGTGTGTAAAGTCAGTGTATTCCTTTAATAATGTAATTTATCAGTGGCTGCAGGAAATTTTCTCTTCCTTTATTCTGCAGTCAGAGTGCATCGTCTGTAGGAACACTGAACTGGGTTAGAGAAAAAGTCGGTGTCTTGCTCAAGGACAATTCAGCAGGAGAAATGACACCTTGACACGGGCCTCCTGGAAGGAAGTCTCTTTTCACTACAGCACTCTTTGAGCCTGCACTGACTTTGCAACTAAGTTGCACATAGTTTAGTTTCAAATTTATATGGTTTTTATTCTATGGTAAGTTCAACACCATTGTCCAGTGTCATTGTGAAATGTATTAGCAGAGGAACAAAAGAGGCATTTATATTAGTTTAGTATAAAGACTTTAAACAAAGTTTGTTTGTTTTTTCCAGTGAAAAAATATCTAAGGTTTGCCAAACAGCCTTAAACATACTCGGACTTATTGTGCAGCAAGCAAAGACGCTGCAATGAGGCTGATTTTATTAACATATTTTAGACTGATCTACGTTGTTAGAATGGGCTTAACCTCACAGTCTAATGCAAACTAGACAGTTCTCAAAAAAAGAGGACCAACTTATTTTGACCCTAAAAAGTTTTCCTCCCACATCCAGGGTAACTTAGAACTACGACAAAGATAAAAAACAATGACATTAACTAAAAAAATGGCAGCTAAAATTGTGGCGTAAAAAAGAAGGAGGTTGATTGTCTGGAAAAACTGTAGCTACTTTTTGTGTATTGCTATATTTTGAATTTTTCTGTAACAATATCCTGGTAAATGTGAAATTTTCAAGCCGAAAAAAGATTTGTGTTAATCATCAGTTAGATACTAAGCCAAACAAAGCAAGTTATTTTGATCTATGACGTCACCCCGAGCACAAAAGTGAATAAGCATGTTTCATTTAATGTCAAAGTACTGCTTTAAAAGTGTACAGAAAATGAAAAAATATAATAATAAAAACAGAATAAGTAGGTGGAGAAATATAACAAATGGAGATGCCACCAGCGATTACATGAAAGGTCACTGAATGAATTGATGAGTATGAAAATGATGAGTGAGTCATATGTTATGGCCTTTGCAGGATTTCAGCTCAACACAAAAACATATGGCATACTTTATGATGAAAAGACCAAATAAAACCCATCCATCCACCCATGCATACCTACATATATATACACACACATACATACATCAACTGTTTACAAAGCTTGTAGTAATATATTTTGAAGGCAGCGCTTAAATTCGTCCAGCAAATTTAAAAGTCTAAAATCTCTCTAGAATCTGTGTCAAGGAGAATAAAGACAATTTGTCTTTCCATGTATCTCTTTTATCACAGATGCTTGCATAACAGCATCCTTTATGTCATTCTAACACATGTTACACTAAAACCAACAGTCCTAATCTCCAGTGACCCACTGGAGCTGCTCCTATTGTTTTATTCCTTCCAGTCCACCTCTTTCTACTGCCTCCTCCCTCTGACCCCGATCTGTACCTTTCAGCACGCTGAGCGACGTCCTCTGGTTGAAAAAGTTGTCATTGAGCAAGACTTCACAGACGTAGAGGCCACCATCTTTCAAGTCAGGAGTAAGCAGAAAGGAAAAGCTCCCAGCCTCTGGGTTGTAGGGTAGACCAGCCATCTGTAGTTTCTCGTTTTGATTAGTCATTAGAGTACCCCTCCAACGGTCGTAATCGAACACCTTCTTCATATTATTTTGATTTCTGGTGTCTGGAGGAACCCAGTTCACCTGCACATAGTCCCCCACAACACCAGGACAGGTTAAGAGGAAGGATGTGTGAGCCTGAATGGCAGTGGAGATCAGAGGACCTGCAGGAAAGGGTGGAGGAGGACAGATATGGAGACATTACTGTCCAAGAAGACACGTGGATGGGGAATTCAGACTTAAAAAGTGGATGCATGAAGAGTGGGGTAGAGAAACTATAAACAGAATAGCAAGAAAGTGGGAAAATGGAGATACAGTAGGGGAAAAAATTCCTTCAACAATAGGGATTACATTCTTATATGCTGAGAGTCACTTCTTCAGCTCTGCTCTTGCATTCTGCTCTGCCTGATTACCAAGCTGCTGACACAGGACTTTCAGACTGCTTGTGTTACAGAGTTACTTACCATGTGTTATATTGGTGAATGAGGCCACTTTGTCAGCTGTGGGGATGGGGTTGGGTGGGGGGCAAAAAGCAAATAATGAATAATACATAAATGTAGCAACTATAATATTCACAGGAGGACTAGCTGGATTTTAGTGCAGATCTACACTCTGCTTTTGAGTCTTGAAACTGGTCTATAAAAGTAAATACTTTGAAGAACTGTAGCTACAAGACTTCTAAATAAATAATGCTGTTGCTGGAGTTTCTGGCATTGATGCCCACTTGCACCATCAATAAAAGCAACAACAAATGCATTCTAGCTCGTAATGCTTCTGCACGGCTTCTCTTCTTCCAGTCAGCCTTACCAGAAACTGTTACATCCACATTGAAAGCAAAGAGACGGCTGCTGCTGTTACCCCGGGGGTAAACCATACAGACATAAGCACCATCATCGTTGTTCAGAACTTGTGGTAGTTTAGCCACAGTGTTGGTCTTTGACTTTTTTTCGCTCTTCAGTGTAATATCACCAGGTCCTGCCCAGGTGACCTTTGTGAAGGCAAAGTCAGGAGTGACGCTGGCAATCAGCCGCAGGGTGCTGTACTGAGGAATGGGTACATCGGGGACGACGCTGACTGGAGATGAGACAGGAAAGAGTTAATTTGTGCAAATGCACTTAATTCTCCAGCCATTTAAACAAACATTCATTGTGGCAGGCAAAAACAGCCTTTTATTGCTGTATCTGGATGATGTGAGGCTCATTTCGATTGCAAGTAAATTATTTATCTGCTGTGTAACTATCAACATAAATCTAGTGGGTTTTAAAGTCCAGTGTTTCCCTCTGGAATGCAGTGGATTAAAGGTTCAAATAAAACAGTGTAAAGCGAGCTGCATATATAGGTGCACTACTTGACTTAAGAAGATGTGCCAGATGTTACGAAATAAAAGTGTGGTTGCAGAAAAGATCATTTCCTACATATACTGTTTGCTGTCATTTATAAATCAAGCAAATAATATTCTTTTAGTTATGCAGCATTGTGAAGAAGAACTGTGTATAAAAAAGACATAGAGAGATTTAAAAGAAAAGGAAAGGACAGCATGGAGGAGCCGAAACGCAGAAAAATCAAAAACAACTAAGTTAAAGTCTCCCTACACTAAAAGATTTAGTTGGTATTTCTTCTCCTGGTTGTGGGACTCTACAGAATGATGGATGTTCAGAGACACATGAAAGCTCTTCAAGTGGAAAGTTTCTCTGAGTGTACCTAAAATGTATTCTTAAAGATGAGTACCCAGAAGACTGATCTGGGACAGACATCACAACTACTTTGAAAGTCAGTGGTCCAATAGGTAAAATACACTGTTGAAGCCCGGACTCACAAACACTGAGAACAGACTTTTTCAGTGGCAGCTTGTGTCCTGTAGTAACATTTGGAAATTCATCTATCTGTTTTCTTAACTGCTTATCTGCTAGGTGTGGTGGGCTCGAGCCCTCGTCATGGTCTGACAGACCACATTTTTCCTTCCCACTGTCACTCACTAACTGTTTGCTCATGAGGGTCATCTGATTGTGTTATTGTAGGGTCTTTACCTACAATGTAAATTTCCTTGTGGTGACTTGGAGAAATGGTGCTATATAAACAGAACTGAACTGAATTTGGAGGGGGGGAAGGTAAACACAAGGAGAACCCTCACATCCACACCTACAGTTGATTTAGAAGCACCACGAAGATGGAGTACCTGAGAAAACCCCATCCAAACTTCATGTAATCAAGCAGGAGGTTTCAACCTACAGCTTTCTTGCTGTGCTAACCATTGCACTGCCATGCAGCCATGCTGAGAATTCTTGAAAACCGCATTACAAAAATTATTATTTAATGATGAGTGTGTTTAGATCTCACAAATTACCTGGTGGGGAACTTTAATCATTTATAGATCTGTATAAACACATATGCATACTTTATATATCTGAAAATCTTTGATGACATGTTAGTAGGAGTATCTTTCAAATGCACAATAACGTCTTGTTATTCCTACCTGTAAGGATGACTAAAAGGATAATCTCCTCCTTAAGTATCTTCTCTTGTTGTTGTATCAAGCATGAGTAGAAACCAATGTCTGCTGCTTCAGGCTTTAAAGACAGTGAGAAAACCCCACTGTCTTTAAAGTTAGAGTCAGTCAGTTGCATGGATGGCTTCAAGGCACTTCCAGAGATCCTTTCATTTGTACTGGCTAACATGATCAATTTCCACTCATTTGTACAAAATAGCTTCACCTTCCAGTTAATGGTCACAGGCCCTCTCACACTTGTGTCATTGCAGATCAAAGTGGTAAGCATTCCTTCTCTGACCACCACAACATCGTTCCAATCTGAAGGAGAATAGACACGTTTGCCATTATAAAAGATTAATTCCTGAAGCTGAAATGCATTGAAAATATAGTCTTGCTTTACTGCTCGAGTTTTTTTAATCTTGTGCGCAAAGGACAGGATTATGTTTTTCAACTCAAGAAATGACTCTACACATGGCCATATGTAGAGTAAAAGCAACTATTACAGTTAATCCTCATCCCTATTTATGAGTAAAAATGATTTAGATGAGTTTAGCTGAGGCTATTATGAGGCTTCTGTTGTTAGAGTCAGTCATACATAATGGTTATCTTTCAAAGTCTTTTTAGCACAGAATTCCTCTCTTTGTTTCCCCAGACAGTACAGTATTTCCTTGTAGTGCTGCTGTGGATGGATAGTAACAAAAAGAACTTTGCACTAAAAAGACTATGGGAGATAACAACTCGATTTATGTAAAACAGACAACTAAAGCTTCACATTTGCTTCAAATGAATTTAAAATGCATTTCAGAAAAACAAATACTGTGGATTTTTCCATCTTATGATAACTGTGGGCATATCGGTGCTGCATAGGATTAAATAGCAAGGTAAACTGGACCAGGTGGCAAAAACGGCAAACAGCAAAAGGAGAGAAGAAAGCTTTTTTCCTTCTTCTTAACTTGGTAAAAGATACAGTAGGTATAGTTTTTTTTTTTTTTAATTGACCCTCTGGGACAACAAAACAAGCCTCGCTAGGTGTGACTCATCATCGTAATTTACATTCAGAGCTGTGAATTCATTAAAGTTTGCACTACAAAAGCTGTAATTGCTGGGAAATGAAGGCAGTGTTTTCAGCATGAATAGTTTCAAGTACAGTTAAAAAATGTGCTTCCAAAAATCACAGAAATCGGTTCGTACCTGTGATGCCGATGCGACAAGAATATACCACAGAGAAGGAAGCAAGAATAAAGGTGAGAAAACCAGCCTCCATCACAGATTTAAAGAAAAGAAAAACCACTCTCACTGCACCAGTTGTCTCTGTCTTTGACACTGTGACCTTTCTTACTCTTCTTCGGAACAGCAAGAAGTATTTTTCTGCATCCTCCAATATTATTGGTTTGCCTGAGTGGCATCTTAACAACTTTGCTGCACATCTTTGAGCCGAACAGGATATGGAGCAACCAGAATGGACATAATCAGCAGGAAAAGACTGTTATTATTCCAGTCATGTATGTGTGCATGGAGCTGATAAAATACATACACGGGCATTACCATAATGTTAGTGTATGATGTTTTACAACACTTCCGAGCTGAACTTCAGGGCAATTAGTAACAGAACTTCTGACCCCAACGCCGAGTTTGACAAAAGGAACGAGCATGTACTCATGTGCGTATCACAATGTGTGTGTGAAACTGAGAAAACGATAAGAATAACAGAAAGTGTGGGATTGAGGGAGATGAAAAAGCGAGAAATAAAGAGCTTGGGTTGGTGTGGGTGCACTGCAACCCCTAGGCTACATGTCTTTACATCCCATAAATGTCTTTAATTAAGCTAAAGGTATTATCAGCTCCTCTGAGCACTATTACAGATTTTTCCATAATTACCATTGGGTGAATGGGGGCGGTGAAGAGAGATAGTGAAAGAGAGAGAGAGAGGGAGAGAAAGTAGATATGTATTGTGGGTGTCTAATGACGGGGAAAGAGAGAAAAAAAATTAAGAGCAGCACGAGGGGGAGAAATGTGGAAGGAGAGGTGCTCAGACAGAATAAAAAAACCCGGGGAGAGAAGAAGTGTGAGAGAGTGTTGCAAGGGAACAGAGACAGTGTGACTTCAAAGAAGCCTGTGGCTGCTGACAAAGAACGTGGTGCTGATCCTGTGGCCCCTCCTCTATGGGTAAATAATCACCATAAGCCTTGGCTCTGTCTAATGAAGCCACTGCCAATGAGCTAATATCTGTTAACTATGGGCTTCATTATCACTGCCACAGACCCCTTTAGAGCATGAGGATGGAGGACGGGATGAATAGCAGAGAGGAGTGAAGGACGAGTGGACAAAGAAAACTGAATGACATGGGAAGAGGGAGAGAGGAAGGGAAGGAAGGAAGGAAGGAAGGAAGGAAGGAAGGAAGGAAGGAAGGAAGGAAGGAAGGAGAAATTAGGAAGGGGAGGAAAGTGAAGTTTAAATGAAGGGAAGGTGTAAGGGTATGAGATGGTGAGAAAAAAGGAGTTGAGGTACTGTGTAAAGAAAGTGGGTAGTGGCTGTTAAGTGGAAGGTGTGAAGGTCGATTTGGTACGGGTATGAAAAATGGATGAGTGTGGGAAGGAAAAGGAATGAAACCCTCCATTTGGTGGCGACTTTCTTTAAAGCTCCTATTCTCCCATGAATGCATAAGATTTAGCAGCAGCAGTGCAGGTATGGGTGGTCTTCGCTCACTTCCCATGACTGTGCTGGTCTTCTAACACTGTGCTACAGAGCCAGGAGGCAGAATTAATTCCTTTTTAGGAAAAGAAGTCTAAAAGAAAGATATACTTTACAGCTGTTTTTTCAGGTGTGCACACCATTGCTTGACCTCTGATCACTATCAGCGTCTTCAGAATTTGCATCTCAGTAATAGTCTGGAAATAAGAAGGTTGAGGGGAACTGAGAAAAGGAAGAGAACGGCAGGAAGAAGGCAACATGGTTTAAACTGTGGGACTTACGGAGATGTAATTACATTGGCTGTAAAACACTTGGGTATAGGGATTAGACCTAAACCAGATAATGCCATTGCTATGCTAGTGTGCACCCTGCTTCAGAGGAAAATAGGGCAAAATGAATTGGAAGTTATTCCGTAGAAGAAAAAAATCTCATCAACAATGAGTGTGCTGGAGTCTGCAAATAGATACATGAGAAGCTGTTTCCTTGTGATTTGATTTTTGTGGCTGCCACTGGTTTCGTATTTTGTCGTTCATTAATGAATGCTTATTGATTTTGGCATCTGCTGTTCTGGGGTTTATATGAGCTAATGTCACGTCTGTGCGCGGAAGCAGACAGCAGAGGGCGTAAGCATCATCTGCTTTATTTCGTCATGACTCGGAGGAATTGTGTAAGCTAACTTTATGTTGTTGTTGTTGTTTTGTTTTCTGGCGTGTTTTTTTAAAATATAGTTTTAGGTTGTAAGTCACTTTTCTGTTGCAACAATTAGTAGTCTACACAAATTGCTGGTGAGATTATTTTACTTGGCAGCGCCCTAAAATTGGAAGTGGGTCGTGAAAACCGTATCATCCTGATGCTTTTGAAGGAATAAATCTCCCCCTCAAAGTGAAGCACATAAATTTTGTGACTCTGTTCTTTACGCACCAGCTCCACTGCGCATCTGCCCGTCAAAGAAGAGAGATCACTCCTCTGGTGTCTTTCCTCCCATTTTCTTCTTTGGTACAGTTCATCATCGGGGGTCTGTGAACAGCGGGTGCTGTGTGGTGAACAGATTGGAAAGCTCCATGAGGCAAATCTGTGATATTGGGCTGTACAAATAAATTCGCCTTGACTTAAAACCTGCTGCGTAGTTTGGATGGTATCTAGGTGCAGGTTGTATTCCAGGGAAAAATTCTTTCAGCAATTTCAACAAGTTGTTCTCTGAGCCCCCCCGCCTGCCATTGCTAATCTTAATTGTTTTTTTCGGAGGGGGGTGGAAAGGATAAGGACTGTGACGCCTGATGACATCACCTCAGTCACACACGCAGTTCGAGAGCCGCGCGCTCACACGCAGGAAATAGTTGTTGGAGCAGAGAGAGAGAGAGAGAAAGAGAAAGAAAGCCGCAGTTCTTCACATCCTGAACACCGGCGGAGAGGAACTATTCACCTGTGCGCTGCCAGGACGAATTCACAAGGATTTCCATTCATTTTTAGCCCATTTTGCTTTAAAGACGAACGAGGGACACTTCAAACAAGAATCTCTGTCGGACTCTTGACCTGTCCTGTAACCAAACAAGTTCTGATTCTTTGAGTGAGATTTTACTCCGAAGTTGACCTTTATTTGAAGTTTTTTTTTCTTCTCAAAGCCCTATTTATTTCGGCGAGCCTTCGTTCCTGGGGTTTTAGCGGACCGTAATCAACCATGGCGAGACATGACTCCCGAATCTGGCCTGAATGCACAAAAATGATAGGACTGCTCTGCTTGGTTTCGTCGATACTTCTACACCACGGTAAGAAAAGATCACTTATAACAAGTCAGTGGTGTCCAGCTCATTGCCGACACCGGCTTGTTTTCCGTCTTCTTCTTCTCCGAGCTTGAATAATTTAGGAGAAGACCAATTTAAACCTGACTACCACCTGTCAGGGCGGTGACGGGCGAAGAAAATCCAGCAGGTGATTTCCTTGCTTTCTGTACAGGCGACGCTTTAACTCTTCGCTTTAACTCGTCGGATTTTCTCTGAGTTTTGACTATACTAACGCCAAGTGCGGTGGTCAGAGAGATAACTCTTTATTTTAATTATTTCTCTCAGAGGTTTTGATCGTAAACCAGGCCCATCGGTCTTTGACCCGAGTTTCGGTCGGTGACTCAACGCCATGTTTAGTTTCCCTAAGGTGTGGCTCTGTGGAGCAAGGTGTTGAGGCGAGGTGCCTTCTGCGCTTCATTGGTGACTTCCCCTCTTTAAACCTAGGCGCTGTTTCAGTCTATCCTTCGTACTCCTTTTCCCACCTTAAAGCCCATTTCATCCCCACAGCCCCCTCCCTGCTCCTTTTCATTCCTGTATCCACGCATTGACGAAAACTGGTCTGGTAACAGCTCTTAATGTACACTGAAACTGACAGAGGGGGCAAGAACTGGATGGCCCGCTCTGGCTAATATCTAGATGGAACTTGCGCATGATTTTCTTTCAGTGTACCGCTTGGATTTTTTAAAAATGTAATCTGGCGTCTATTACTTTAAGCAAAGTGACTGGCCACGCCTGCTCGCGTTAATAATTCAGCTGTTTTCCAGTCTGCTTGAGCTCAGGTAGCGTACAGGTACCGCGACCGTAGGGCTCCCCAAAAATATTCCTGGTATGCACTTAACCTATTAGCATATGAATATGTTGCAGGAAACCAGTTCAACATTCTCGCTGCCTTTCCTCACTAGACCGGGTATTTTGTTGTTCTTTTTTCCTGTAATTGGGGCAGGAATGTAGGACTAGATCTAAAGTCCTGGCACAGCTACAGTATACATTTTCAATAGTGAGCGGGTTGTGGTGTTTTTTAATTGCAGTATTTGAGTTATTCATGCAGTGGACCTTTTTTGTCCGATTTCATTTTACAGAACATGAAGTGCTCTTAGTGGAGGGAGAAAAGTGGAGAAAACAAAAGGCTTTACATATTTATGAGTGAGGACAAAAGCAAGGCATTCCCTGTGCAGGCACCAACGTGGCTTTTTCTTTTCATTTTTAGTATTTTTTTTTCGCTTTTTTTTTTTTTTTCAAAAGGGACTTCTGTCTGATTTCCTTTTGGTTAATATGCTATGGGGAACTGAAACTTTTTACTGGTCTCCTTTTGCATTTTTTTACCTTCACTTTTCCCTCTAGAGGTTTGACAGCAACCACTTACCTCCACTTCTCCAGCTTCAGTCTGGGAGCGAAAGAAGTTCATTAATTTTCTGCAAAGTTTTCAATTTAACATGGCCCAGCTTTAATGTAAAAACCTATCCAATTCAATATTGAATTGGATAGGTTTTTAATTATGTTGGCTTCTGTAATATTTCTGAGTTCAGCAGACAAGTGGCCTGCCAGTTTAAGCTCTGAAATTGAACTATAATACCAACCCCGACCCCCAAGATCACCACGAACCATGGATGTGGGTCAGAAAGGCTTTGGCCCATTACCAAGGAGATGTTTTTATTGGAAGAACGGTGGGCTTACGTGAGGGGGAGTGTTTTTTTTTTTTTTTTTAAGTGGGGGAGTATGAGGCTGTGGGAGTATTGTCTTTATGGCTGAGTAAGCTGCGTGTTTGCAGGGGGCGGCTGGCTGGGCGCCCAAGAACCCGGTGGGCATGCAGGGTCAGGGCTGGGGGAAGAGACTCTGTCCTTCTCCGCTCACAAATAAGCCATTGTTGTTGTGTTTTTAATCTTTTGTATACCTGAAAGCATTCAGAAAAGTATGCAAAGCCATTCTTGACGACTCTCCTCAGATTCAAGCAAAAACAGGTGGCTTTTCAGCGGCCCGCTGCTTTTGTGCGTTGGATTGATGTGGCTGAGTTTCTGGATTGGCTGGAAAACGCAACAGGCAGCAACTGATTAAGACAGGCGACGCCCTGGCTACCCTCTTTCCCACCGTCATTTGAAATCTCTCCCCCTCCCTCCCTCCCACCAAGCATGCGCTCCCTCCCCCACCGCTGCTGTCCACTACATACAGAGGCCTTGTTCTTGTCTCCGTCTGTTTTTTTTCTGCTGTCTTTTATTCTTTCCTGTCCAGAGCTTTTGTGTGGGTGATGGTAGTGATTGGGTTATTCAGATGGCCTCCCTCGCTCCCCCCACCTCTCTTCGAACTCAAGGCCGTGCTGTTTATGACAGGAACAACATGCAGCCAGACAGGACAATAAACCACATGACCTTACCATAGCCTGTCATGACTGTAGGATTTCAGAGCTGTATTCTTTTTACAGCTACAATCACACCAGCTAATATGATTATGCTGTAGAATATCAAAGTACTGAAAAAACCACAGCATTTTCACAATCATTAACTGCCCACCCTGTTCAGTCACACACAGACACACACACACAGATGTACTTAGCGTGGATACTGATTGACTCGAATGTACTGATCTTTCTTTTGGCAGTCCTCGGTGTGCAATAGTTCAGACTATTAGGTCTAACAGTTCCCCTCCACATGGTGTGAAACAGTGTATTCCTGCCAAGTCTGGAACAATTCATCATCACAACAGAGGAAGAGCACTAGACTCTGTCTATTAAGAGGAATGTAATTGATGGATCATGAGAGGAGGTTTTTTTTCTTTTCTTTTCTATGCTAATAAAGGGGAAGAAAAAAGTAAGTCCTTAGTATCTCATTAGTCTCAGTGGAGCGAGGAGTTTTCAGTCTGGCTTTAGTTTTTTGTGTTAATGGCTGTTGAGGTTTGGTCCTATCATTATGTAAATGAGCTGTCCTCACCCTTTTGCACCAGCACCGTAAATGTCAGAAGGATTTTGAAAAGGTCAGGTGTGTGCTTCTGTACGTGTGAAAGAAAATCTCGTCCCGACTGTGATATGTGCTGGTAAAAACACACACACTTGCACGCACACACATACTCGCTGAGGGTTCCTGTTTAAATGACACATCAATAACGTCTTCCTCTCGCTTATGGTCGCCATTAAAGGTTTGTTGATTCAGACATAAAAGTGTTCTTGAATTTATGGCTTAATGGAGACATGAGAGTGATGCCAATTCATTGTATTTCCCTTTATACGTGGGCAGTGTTTGGCAAATGTGTCCCAATTAATTTCGAATAACAAAATTGTGAAATGATTGAAGCTTTGGCATTTCACCAGATGAGCCTAATGATTTAGACAGCTTTTTAATACTACTTGTTATTTTTTTTTATTTTTATTTTTTCCCAGGTGCAGGACTTGGTAATATTTAATGGTCGCTCAGAAATGAAGCACCACTTATCCCACTATAAAATTGTGACAAATGTGAAGCTTTTTAACTGACGTATTGAAAACATTTTAGCACAAGGCACTTTTCATTTTAAAACCAATATGGTAGCTAAATTGATTAAATTGTTGATCCTTGACATTTTACCGGATTTTAGGTATACAGCTATTTTGATAAATCAGGTTTTAGTGAGATTACTTTGCTCCATAGAGTTTTCATTACCAGTGACCACAGACACAAAAGATCCATCAAGTTTATTGTTGACTTGGCAAATATTATTAGACTGGATGGATGGAGCGGAGCAGAGGGGGTCGATGCGCGCCAGCCGCTGCATCTTGTTGCGTTTTAGGCCACATAGTATACCACAGAGGCAGGCACAGATACGTGTGCACATTTAGCTGGTGATGCATGGGCGATGTAACCTGAGGCTGCACTGTAAGTCAGATGACATTCCAATAATAGGGCGGAGGCGACACATCACAGAATGACACTGCATGTGTGTATTACTGTTTGTTTCAGGAAGGCAAGTGTTATCCTCATCAGCAACCCTGTTATCTTCTACAGACATCAGATGTGAGGAGTTCCTTTTTTTCCCCAACTCCATGCTCATTTAATTGACTGCCTTAAACGAGGCTTATCCTGCAACTTGTAATAATGATAGTGGGTTTCCTGTGACAAGAGAGCCAAAGCCAGCAGCTCTGCGTCTGAAGTCCCTCCCTGCTCTCTTCCGTTGACTTGTACATGCTGGGTGGATGGAGGTCACACTGGGAGCCCCCAGCCAGCATGTTTGTGTTTGGCTCTGAGAGTTGCCAGACGGCTGAAGTCAGTCCCATCTGATCCAAAGGAAAATGAGCAGAAATCCTTCTTTTGGAAGGAATGCCAAACATTATTAATATGCATGGTGCAGCTAAGGGGTTTCTAAAAACACAACTGTGCTGGGGTCGATGATATTCTTGGCGCAGGTGTTGGGTTTAACTCCTATCTACATCAAATCTGCGTGCATGTGCACACGCACCGATTAAGGTTCGACGCAAGATACCGTTCCATAATGTACCCTACCCACCCACATGCTTCTACATAATGGAGACTTTTAAGACTGTAGCATTTGCTGAAGTTGCATGCCAGGAGCTTATTTTGTATACAGTGGGATTTTTTTTTTTTTTTTTTGTTTTTTTTCCAGTCACACACAGATTTCCACACCATTAGTCAAGATACCTTCTGCCAAATCTGCATTTTCCTATCTGCGTTTTCCTGACAAACCCCAGATGGAATTTAGGGAGATGCAGGTCAAACCCATTCCAGCTCAGCCGACGTAGAGAATGAGCAGTAATTCCAATTGAAGATCCATTGAAAGGCAGCCAAACTCTTTAAAATGAAATCCTCTTAATTAACTAGGCTTGGGAGATGGGTGTCTCTGTGACCCTGCTGTAGAAAAAATCACAGAGGATGAGCAGCGGAGGCAGAGCGGTGAGTGGGGGGGTTGAGGTTGTCGACATTTTCAAATTCCACACCGCAGCGTCTTGGCAGAGGTGCTGGAGGAGGATTGCAGAAAACTGTGTGAGGGAGTGAACCAGGGAGGCC